ATATGAATGTTTTTTTGGGCTCAAATGAAAGAGCGGGTCGAGAAATGGCGTGCTAGGGCCTCTCAAGATGGTTTTGAACCAGGGGAGACTCCTAGACCCGACTAGACAATGTTGTCACAATGGCGCTTTTCAATTGAACACAGACCTCATCTTTAGAGACATTTGTCATCTTTAAAGACTTCTGCACGCTATTTTTCGAGCCGCTCTTTCATTTGAGCCAAAAAAAAATTCATATCGTGTCTGACATCTCTGTTACAAACTCTGGTCATCAACTCTGGTTTTCAGTTGAAATTGGAATTGTTAATTTACACAATAATAGGATTGCATTGACGATTTTTTCTTAACTCGCAAAAATCTTCAAACAATTTGCTATCGATTGGTGATAAAATTTTTTGGAAATAATGAAATAGAGGGGATAACGCCTTTTTTTCAGATGTGATTTTCCAAAAATTTATTTAAAAAAAGGTACTAACTAGCAAATGTTTTTTATTAGCTCGCAATTTTTTTCAAAACTACTTCAATGAGGAAAAAAATAAAAATTTGGAATATCTATACATGAGGGGCTAATTGATCGGGTCGGGGTTTTCACTCATAGCGCACAGTCCGCAAATGACAGCGACTAGTCGCAGAGATTATAAGGGGGGAGATCTCTCACGGCAATGTAAACGTTTCAACGGGGGGGGGCTCGTTCGTACTTCCACAACTGTACAGTCGTCAAATTAAGTTCCGCCAGACCGTGAAGTTGGCTAGAGACTGGGGATGCATGGAGTATAGGGACCGAAACGAACGAGCGGTTCGTACCTCGATGGTTTTAGTTCGTGCTCCAGTGATTGGATAGAGTGGGGGAATTTGGACGGGTTTTTAATGCCGGCAAAGGCGACTCAAACCTCCACAATAACAAAAACAAAGTAAATATCCGGAGCACAGTGGGTTTAGGAAAAAAATTGCATAATTTAGAAAAATATATCTATTTAATTGTCACTGACAGTGCTGATGAGTTGGCAAGTATTGGAGTATTTTGTATTTTCTTTGTCCCGGTAAATATTTAATCATTTTGAGAATGAGTTATTCTAGAGAGGGAAATTGTCAAAAGATAGATTGCCATAGATTTTCTCAACTACACAGAAGTCTCTTGACATAAACTCCGAAAATTACGCATTCCATAATCTATTGACAATATCATTGTTGAATGAAAACTTTTCTCAATTTTGTTAATTGATGCAATATGAAAATAAAAGGATAATAATATTTGAAACTTTTGATTCAGACAGACTATCAGAAACAACTTCTATTTGCTATTCATGAAATTATCTGAACGATTTTTTTTT